ATAGATAGATAGATAGATAGATAGATAGATAGATAGATAGATAGATAAAGTTCCCTCACATCAAAACTTCACTTACATGTATCTTTTTACAATGAACGTAACTAGAAAATGGGTGTGATAATAAACCCGAACATATCCCACTACACTGTAGGTTTTTGTTCACCTTATCTTCCATAGAAGAAGTGTATATGAGAGGGAAGCCATCTTTACTCTAAAGCATGTGCCTAGGCTTACATCTAAGTTTTGTCTTTCTCTATAGGATCTTAGGCCTTTCAGAGTCTAGATTTTGCAGCACCATATATTTTTTGAATCATTTATTGCTAATACTGTCTTACATCTATGCATTTGTATGTGTAAGCACAGGTGTGTGGGGATGTATGTGGAGGTCATAGGACAATTTTCAGGCACTGGTTCTCGCCTTCCACCACATGGGTTCCAGGAATCTGACAGAGTTCATCAGTTTGAGTAGTAAGAGCATCTACCTTAGCTTTGAGCCATCTAACCAGCCTTTTCTCCTCGTCTCTCCTCTTCTCTTCTCTCCTCCCTTCTCCTTCCTTCCCCTCTTCTCCTCCCACCCATCTGTCCCGAGGTCCTGGGGATGTGCTGCTGTGGCAATGTATGTGCCTAGCATTTGCAAGACTCTGGGTTTGATTCTCAAAACTAGAAAAATAAAATCTAGTCTAGGTGAGTGTATTGCATTTAGATAGCAAATACTTGACTATGATTACAGTACTAGGTGCTACAAGGGGCTCAGTGATTAGCTTTCTCAAACAAAGACCTGTTTAGGAAAGCTGAAGATGAAATGATTGTCAGTAGCTAGCTGCTCACCTCTGATGAGACTCAGTTCCGCCTCCTCTAGACCCATTCCATTAGAGATGTAGGCAGAAACACACCGTGAAGACCAATTAAACAAAATGATGCCTTCACATACACTTGTGTGACAAAGAACTTGGAAGCAGATAGAAGGCAGTGAATCAAGCCGAAGCCCTCAAAAATCAACCATCCCGGTGTAATTTAGAAGGAAACAGGAAATACAGCTTTAGAAACTCACCCGTAAATGATCAGGTGCGCACAGATTGACACTATCAAGACTCTCAGCACTGTCCCAGCTGAAAACGTCATCATCTGATTCCTGCACAGAAGAGCACAGTGAGGCGCTGTCAGCTTCTTCAAACGTCCCCTTTAAAATTCCACTCATAGCTGTCACATGGACCTGCAGGAGGAACGGGAGCCGAGCATTGAAATCTGCGCCCACTGGCTGCATAGCCAAGGTCTTACATGTTAGGGTCCAGTCCTTTGAACCACACAGACTGCACTTCCTGCAACACTGGAAAGCATTACCAACAACTACACCCTGATTCGCTCTTATATTTTCATTCTCATTCTGGCAATAATGTCTGTAAGAAAGAGTTCAAATTAAGATTGTGAAATAAGAATGCTGCACAAGAAAATACGGCTTCTTGTTTCCAAATGCCAAAACAAAAGCCAAATGCATTTATTTGATTTGCTCTAGCAAATCCTGTACTGTCGTTGACAGAGCCAGAGTTCAGAACAAAATGGATCATTCACTTGCATGCTGTCATACTGGGAGCATACTGATGAGGGTATGTCTATCTTGTCGGGGATTTCTTTTTCCTCAGGTACAAAGGCATCTGCTTTCCTGGGGCTCTCTGTCCATCAAAAATCAAATTGGTTGCTAGGAATGGCAATACCTGCAGAATTTAGATGCCTTATCATGTTTCCAGTCAATTCAGCAGAGCCACAGGGAATACTCAAGGCCTCCGCCAAGGATAGCTGAATAGATTTTACACATGACAGACTACAGTACCTAAATCTTTTTGCGAGATAAAACATTAATTTAAACTTCTTCACTCTTTGTAGAAGAGCCATTCAGATGCAGGTGGATTCACAATTAAAAAAAAAAAAATGTTAACATCAAGTTTGATGAATCATTAAACCACCGAGAGTAACAATTTCCCTGCATCTATAGAGAAACAGTTAAGGTAATCAGGGGTTGAAAACACAAATGCCTACAGTGGCAGAAGGGAAAGCTGTGAACACACAGTCCTCTTCGTTATATCTCTCATGTGCTATTTGTAACAGTGCTACCAAGAAATATTCCTTTTCTAAGGGAGACTGATACATAGCTACAATAATAAAAATCCTATCAATCAAGTAGAAAGTAGTTGTGGGTTCTGTGATGTGGTAAAAGGGTGACCACATTCCAAAGTCCGTGTCAGAGACGCCGACGTAGGGCTAGGTCATTTTGGCTAAATGCTTTCACAGTTTAGCCAACTCTAACCTGGCAGGTGCCTTGCTTACATAGCCAGAAGCAGCCCTTTACTGTACTAGACTTCATATTCCACATCTGTTTATCACTTATTGATTTTGTTTACAGAGCTAAAGAAGCAATTTTCAAACTAAACTGTAATCTAAAGCCCAAATCTGACTGATTCAACAACACAGACAAGAACGGTCAGCATCAGTGACTTGGACGGTTAACTGACTGGGGGGGGTATCAAAGCCTTGTCAGCCGTCCTACGAGTACTTAACTGGTGGAGCGAACCAAATTCACAAGAAACCCCGATAGTACGAGTTACAAAGGAGTGGTCTTTTAAGTCAAACCTCAATGTAGCAATTTAAGACATGCCCACAGGTCACTGACTCCGTAGCTTTGGGGTGGGGCAGTGAGCACCCAGTAGTAGCCTAACCTTCAGTGAAACCCACCTGAGGTTGGAGGAAAGGCCTCAGCCAAAGCTTTGTATGATTCCATGAACCCCACACCCCAACGCATAAGTTAAAGTGCCCCTAACACAAAAGAGGCCTCCATCAATCGCACGGACACCCCGGTTCACCTCCCCGCGTCTCCCCCCAGTTTCTGCCATCAACCTTATAAATGTCTCATTAGAAGCCTGACATTACTCCACCCCAGGGGACGACTCCTACCAGCCACTCTCCACTGCCTTCCCTTCCCTAAGCTCCACCCTTGGGTCTACAATAAGATTTCTTCCTAAAACTCACCCTCTGTGGCCTATGAACTGTACTGTTTGAATCTCCAAAACAGGTCCAGGGGCCACTTACTCTGTGGATGTTTTGTGTGACTATGAACACCGGGGACGCTAACTCCTGCGTTAAAGGCCCCAAGAGTTAAGAGAGAAGGCATCCATCAACCTCAAACTTACCTCTGTTTCTGGTATCAATTAGAGAAAGCCTGAAATGTATACTTGAATATTTGAGTGGGAAAAGGGAGGGTGGGAGAGAAAAGGGGAGAAGTGACAGGAGAAAAAGAAAGAAGAAAGAGGAAAAATTTCATCTTGCTTTGTTTTCACCAGTCTGGTCCCATTTTTGGTTTTGGGTTTTGGTTTTGTTTGTTTGTTCATTTGTATTGTTTTGTTTTGTTTTTGCACCCTAGCTACATTACTGAAATCGCCATGTTAAAATTACTTTCATGGCAATACAAGAAGAACCGTGCAGGAGGAATGAGGGGGTGAGAGAGATGCCTGCAGTAATAGGTTGGGAAGGAGGCATCTTTGGAGCAGTTACTGTGAATGATGTTTTTCAATGAGTGTTTCTTATCTACAGCTAAGTGAAAATTCTAGGTAGCATTTGAAATTGCCCTATGATGCTGAATTTTTGAGACCTCCTAACCAGAAGGGACTGTTAACAGACTGAGAAATATAGATGGCTTAATTAATATTTCTCAGCACTGAGTGTTGTGTTTGCTGTATATCAGCTATAAATCAGATATGCCCAAGTCCTACTTGAGGGTTTCATGACAAGGTCTTATCTTTTCTACATGCAAAAAAATATGGGGCCCTCTCAGTTTTTGAAATCTACGGAGTGAGAATACTGTATTAGTCCTACTATAAAAACAGTTACAATTTGTACTGTAATCAGAGGATCACTGTCTGAATGCTTCTGTTCCTACACTGTTACAATGTTACAAACGTTGGAATACTAATTTAACCCAAGGTGATAATATACAGAGGTGGAATTGTGGGGGAATAATCATGTCATGGATGCTAATAAGTACTTTCCTTCTAAGATCCCCTCACTGCTGTTCAAATACCCTCCCATTCTGCTGTGAGATTATAGTGAACATGGTCTGGGAAGCAAATCTCTCCAGATACAGAATATAATGGGATCTTGATCCTGGGCTTCCATCCTCCAGAATAGTGAGAAGTATTTTTCTTCTTGTTAATAATCCACCCAGTCCATGGTATTTTGTTACAGTAATCTAAATTAAATAAGATACAGAGTAGTCACACTTTGGATTAAAATACTTAAATTGACAGTATTGTAATTAAAAATGTGCCCAGACACTCTAAACAGAAAAGTAGGTTGCTGGAGTTAAGAGCAGAAAATTGTAAGTCCTGAACTCATATGCTAGATTCTTGATGATATAAATGAGAAAGTTAGTAAAGTATAGAGCTTAGGAAGTGTGCCTCCACAGACCTCGAGTTTTGGATTATCAGACAAGTGTTATAGAGAAAACAGCTCATATTTAAGATTTATATTATGGGCTAAGACACCTGAATAACCACACATAACCCAAATACACTGACCATTAAGTCTGTACCACCCTCCTGTGTTCTTTTCACGTCCTTTTATCCCTCTCACTGGAGCAAGGCTTGCCATAAGAACTTACCATATAATCCATAAACTGATTTGCTTATCAGAGAGTAGTTCGCCATAGCTAGTTGGGAGAAGACCTTGCAAATGGTCTTTAGTGGTAGAGGCCTTACCTTGCATGACAAAGGCCTTGGGTTGAAACTGCCACCACCACAAAATAACAACAAGAAAGATAAATTGGTAGAGAGAGAGAGAGAGAGAGAGAGAGGAAGGATAAAAACGAAGGTAAATTCAACAATTCTGGGAACATGTAGCAAAGCAGGTGAAACATAGGCGAGAGATTCTGAAGGCAGGGAAATCTCTAAATGAGAAAAAGAACAATTGGGGAGCTTGAAAGGTCTTGGCATTGATTTTTGTCAAGGATTTAGTCATAAAAGAACAAGAGGCATAAGAAACTAGGCTGGCTGCAGGCTCTTATGCGAGCGCCTAGCTCCAAAAGTGACAGAGCTCTGGATGGCAGCTGGGAAGAACAATTTTTACCCACATATCTGGTGACATCCCTATCCCCCAACTAAAGGCACATCTGTGGGATCTGGATTTTAAGATCTGAGTGGCTTAAAAAAAAAGGAAACTAAAATCTGAAAAGGAAAAGATTCCCTAGAGGAAAGGTGGTAGAACAGCGGATTCAGTGCATGCTGCGGTGGGCTGTACCTCAGGCCAGCTGTTAACCAAAGTCCTGCGGAGAACATTTTTTCAGTATGTAGTCCCAAGACTCACCACAAATTACCAGTTTGCCGGAGTTGGTTCTCTCCATCCACCATGTGGGTTCTGGAATCAAACTCAGGTAATCATGTTTGGTGGCGAGAGCCTTCACCGGCTGTATATGTATGTATATGGCCTTCACCATTTCACAAGGCATCAAGAAGTCCCTTATTAGACTCAATCTTTTGATCTTGGCGGATACACTTACAGAATTGTAAGAAACTGACTTCTTCATAAATTTATATTTAAAAAAATACTTGATGGGAGTGAAATAACCAGATTATTGACACAAGGCAGGATGATAAACTAGGGATGAGGGACCAAGCTGCACTGTTTGCCTTTGTGGCCATGACAGGAATGTCCACTGCAAAGAGCTGTTATGTCAAAGATTAAAGTCTTCCATTGAGGGCCCTCTCCTTCGTGATAGTGGGCACAGCAGTGTTTGGGTATTCCCTTGTTCAAGACCCACATCCAACAAGAAGCCAGCTCCACCCTCTCAAAGAATTTTCTCGGCTGTTTTGACAACAACTTGAGGGAAATTGTCCTGGTATGTTTGTTCATCAAGTCATTAGACTTTACCAAAAGCCCACCCATACTCCAGGAAAAGCGATGAATGGATTAATATCACATACACAATTTCATAAGCTATGCTTTTGCCAATTACGTCACAAAAGCATCTCCTTCTATAATTAGTTGTTTAATTTGATTTTGTTTTTGTATTTAGGGGTGCATAGTATTTCACTGACTAGTTGTGTTATAAATGCTTGACTGAGCTTCTGAAGAATGCTGGGCTCTTTTCAAAGAAACACATTCAGAGGAAACACATGTAAATCACGGTGCCATTTTTACCGTATCTTATATTGTTGAGCACAACTTTAG